TGGGGAGGGAAGGGCATGGATTTGTTTATGTAGTGGGGAGGGAAGGTCATGGATTTATTTATGTAATGGGGAGGGAAGGTCATGGATTTATTTACGTAGTGGAGAGGGAAGGTCATGGATTTGTTTATGTAGTGGAGAGGGAAGGTCATGGATTTGTTTATGTAGTGGAGAGGGAAGTTCATGGATTTATTTACGTAGTGGGGAGGGAAGGTCATGGATTTGTTTACGTAGTGGGGAGGGAAGGTCATGGATTTATTTATGTGGTGGAGAGGGAAGGTCACAAATTTATTTATGTAGATCTTCTGTATTATACTTAACTTCAAAGATGATAAATTTTCACTTGACAAATCTGATCGTCTTCTTGTGATTGTAAAATGCTCTAGGATTCACATCCAGAGGGTGCCCTAGAGAAGATGTTCTCAAAACTTGTACATTAGTTTGTTTGCTGATATTGTAGCTTAGTTTCTTGGTAGTGTTCAACTTCTGCATTGCTATAAACAGTCTCATCCTAACTGCTTTTCATTCCCTATTTGTTTTCTTCTTCTCCTCCTCCTCGTCTTCTTCATCTTCTTCCTCCTGCTCTTCATCTTCCTCCTTCTTCTCCTCCTCCTCCTCCTTCTTCTTTGCTTTCACTGGCTGTAAACTCTGGAGGAAAGTTCTGATTGTTCTTGCATTCAGGACAGAAGTCTCTTTCCAGAAATTGCGTCTGACATGCACACCAGTTTTACAGTTTGTGACAGTTTCATTTCCTTATTATGGTACTTGGGAAGCCACACAGGGAGTATTCATGTCCGTTGTGGGAGGCAAAGTTTGTGATAGTTTCATTTCCCTCAGTGTTGACTAAATTTTGGTTGGCACATAGTCGTCAACCCTACTTGGCAAACATGATCTGCCTGGCCACGAGACTCACCTTCAGATTTGTATATTTCTCAAAAAGTTATCTCAGTGCATATTTGGGATAAATAATGTGCTAGTTCCTGGAAGTTAACCCAGTCAACAAATGCTCAATGAAGTCGGATGTATTGGCCAAAAGGAGCAAATTGTGCAGCTTTGCTGTAAACAGGCAAAACACAGTTATGTCACAGATGAAAAGAAGAAGAAGAAGAAAATGTGGTTTTTCCCTTGCTTACTTAAAGCTTTAGACCAGATCCACCATCTTTAGCAGCATGTCAGTTACAGCAGATGAGTCCCCTACCCTTCGATACTCTTGCTAACAGCAGATGTGTCCCCTACCCTTTGATACTCTTGCTAACAGCAGATGTGTCCCCTACCCTTCGATACTCTTGCTGACAGCAGATGTGTCCCCTAACCTTTGATACTCTTGCTAACAGCAGATGTGTCCCCTACCCTGAGATACTCTTGCTGACAGCAGATGTGTCCCTTACCCTTTGATACTCTTGCTAACAGCAGAGTGTACCCTACCCTTTGATACTCTTGCTGACAGCAGAGTGTACCCTACCCTTTGATACTCTTACTAACAGCAGAGTGTACCCTACCCTTTAATACTCTTGCTAACAGCAGAGTGTACCCTACCCTTTGATACTCTTGCTGACAGCAGATGTGTCCTCTACCCTTTGATACTCTTGCTGACAGCAGAGTGTACCCTACCCTTTGATACTCTTGCTAACAGCAGAGTGTCCCCTACCCTTTGATACTCCTGCTGACAGCAGATGTGTCCCCTACCCTTTGATACTCTTGCTGACAGCAGAGTGTACCCTACCCTTTGATACTCTTGCTAACAGCAGAGTGTACCCTACCCTTCGATACTCTTGCTAACAGCAGAGTGTACCCTACCCTTTGATACTCTTGCTAACAGCAGAGTGTACCCTACCCTTTGATACTCTTGCTGACAGCAGAGTGTACCCCACCCTTTGATACTCTTGCTGACAGCAGAGTGTACCCTACCCTTTGATACTCTTGCTAACAGCAGAGTGTACCCTACCCTTTGATACTCTTGCTAACAGCAGAGTGTACCCTACCCTTTGATACTCTTGCTGACAGCAGAGTGTACCCTACCCTTTGATACTCTTGCTGACAGCAGAGTGTACCCTACCCTTCGATACTCATGCTGACAGCAGAGTGTACCAGGAGCACAGAATCCTGACCCTAACACTGCTGTTCAGTAATGTCTACGGGAGCATTGCCAGATAGTGATCTATGGGAACATTGTCAGATAGTGATCTATGGGAACATTGTCAGATAGTGATCTATGGGAGCATTGTCAGATAGTGATCCATGGGAGCATTGCCAGATAGTGATCTATGGGAGCATTGCCAGATAGTGATCTATGGGAGCATTGCCAGATAGTGATCTATGGGAACATTGTCAGATAGTGATCTATGGGAACATTGTCAGATAGTGATCTATGGGAGCATTGTCAGATAGTGATCTATGGGAACATTGCCAGATAGTGATCCTTGGGAACATTGTCAGATAGTGATCTATGGGAACATTGTCAGATAGTGATCTATGGGAACATTGTCAGATAGTGATCTATGGGAACATTGTCAGATAGTGATCTATGGGAACATTGCCAGATAGTGATCTATGGGAGCATTGCCAGATAGTGATCCTTGGGAACATTGCCAGATAGTGATCCATGGGAGCATTGCCAGATAGTGATCTATGGGAACATTGCCAGATAGTGATCTATGGGAACATTGCCAGATAGTGATCTATGGGAACATTGCCAGATAGTGATCCTTGGGAACATTGTCAGATAGTGATCCATGGCAGCAAAGTAGCTACCCACTTGCCTGCCAGCCTGAGACATCTGGCTTCAGATCTGCATTGAGGCATATTTTTCCTTCCGAAATTTTCCTTGGCTCTGCGGTTGACCCAGTCAAAAATTGGTACCAAGTAGTGTCCTGGAAAATAAAGGTCAGCGACAGGGAAAAAAAGGTCAGCGACAGGGAAATAAAGGTCAGCGACAGGGAAATAAAGGTCAGCGACAGGGAAATAAAGGTCAGCGACAGGGAAATAAAGGTCAGCGACAGGGAAATAAAGGTCAGCGACAGAGAAATAAAGGTCAGCGACAGGGAAATAAAGGTGGCTGGCGTGATGTTGACTGCATTATCCACTAAGTTCTGATTGGCCCAGAAAAATACAAAGTGAGAATTATGTGTCCAAAGTGTCACAGGCGTAAAAAGTTCCCTTACTTTTTTTCTTCTGAAATGTATAGCCAGTTAGCAGCTTGAGGCACTGTGAGGGATGCACACTGTAAATAGACTCGTACAGTACATACAACAGACAGCTTGAGGTACTGTGAGGGATGCACACTGTAAATGGACTTGTACAGTACATACAACAGACAGCTTGAGGTACTGTGAGGGATGCACAATGTAAATGGACTTGTACAATACATACAACAGACAGCTTGAGGTACTGTGAGGGATGCACACTGTAAATAGACTCGTACAGTACATATAACAGACAGCTTGAGGCACTGTGAGGGATGCACACTGTAAATAGACTTGTACAGTACATACAACAGACAGCTTGAGGCACTGTGAGGGATGCACACTGTAAATAGACTCGTACAGTACATACAACAGACAGCTTGAGGCACTGTGAGGGATGCACACTGTAAATAGACTCGAACAGTACATACAACAGACAGCTTGAGGCACTGTGAGGGATGCACACTGTAAATGGACTTGTACAGTACATACAACAGACAGCTTGAGGCACTGTGAGGGATGCACACTGTAAATAGACTCGTACAGTACATATAACAGACAGCTTGAGGCACTGTGGGGGATGCACACTGTGAATGGACTCGTACAGTACATACAACAGACAGCTTGAGGTACTGTGAGGGATGCACACTGTGAATAGACTTGTACAGTACATACAACAGAGAGCTTGAGGCACTGTGAGGGATGCACACTGTGAATAGACTTGTACAGTACATACAACAGACAGCTTGAGGCACTGTGAGGGATGCACACTGTAAATAGACTCGTACAGTACATACAACAGACAGCTTGAGGCACTGTGAGGGATGCACACTGGGAATAGACTCGAACAGTACATACAACAGACAGCTTGAGGCACTGTGAGGGATGCACACTGTAAATAGACTCGAACAGTAATACAACAGACAGCTTGAGGTACTGTGAGGGATGCACACTGTAAATAGACTCGTACAGTACATTCAACAGACAGCTTGAGGTACTGTGAGGGATGCACACTGTAAATAGACTCTTACAGTACATACAACAGACAGCTTGAGGCACTGTGAGGGATGCACACTGTAAATAGACTTGTACAGTACATATAACAGACAGCTTGAGGCACTGTGGGGGATGCACACTGTAAATAGACTCGTACAGTACATACAACAGACAGCTTGAGGTACTGTGAGGGATGCACACTGTAAATAGACTCGTACAGTACATACAACAGACAGCTTGAGGCACTGTGAGGGATGCACACTGGAAATAGACTCGTACAGTACATATAATGGACAGCTTGAGGCACTGTGAGGGATGCACACTGTAAATAGACTCATACAGTACATATAATGGACAGCTTGAGGCACTGTGAGGGATGCACACTGGGAATAGACTTGTACAGTACATACAACAGACAGCTTGAGGCACTGTGAGGGATGCACACTGGGAAATAGACTCGTACAGTACATACAACAGACAGCTTGAGGCACTGTAAGGGATGCACACTGGGAATAGACTCGTACAGTACATACAACAGACAGCTTGGTTGTAGAGGATTGGTTGTACAGGTTGATGATCACAGACTTGATGCAAATGGTATAGGAGAATATTAGACCTTACTCTGACGTAACTGAGTATACTTCTGTAGTTGTGGCTTTAGCTAGCTGAAAGATACAGCTCTTATTCTTCTTGATAACAGACTCACTCTCTTTCACCTCCACTAATTGGTTTGCCATCTTCAGTCAGTACTTCATAATTGTGAAGACCTGCTGGTTTTGTCACTATGGTATATGGTACATTTGTTTGTGGAACACCTGTCTGCAGGTATGTATCACATATTGCATGACCTGTACCTGGAGAAGTACTCAGACGAGATGTCGCTGTTGGTAGAGGAAATAGCAGACGACATCAGAGATTTCAACAAGAAGGTTGTGAAAACCTCCAAAAGTGACCATGGCCTTGGCCTAGCTAAAGCAGAAGCTACACCCAGCAAGTCTCACAAGTCTGGGTCCAGGGGCAGCCTCGGAGGTTAGTTACCTTGCAGGTTCATAGTTCTTACTACTTTTATCTTCATTGTATGAATGTCTGCAGGGGATTTGTTGTTTTCATATACACCAGTAAGCCAAAAATTGTGTGTTTGTGAAGTTCACCTACATTTACTCAATCTTATAAAAATATGTAGAGAATTGTGGGCTTGTGAAGTTCACCTACATTTACTCAATCTTATAAAAATATGTAGAGAATTGTGTGCTTGTGAAGTTCACCTACATTTACTCAATCTTATAAAAATATGTAGAGAATTGTGTGGTCATGAGCTCACCTATATTTACAAAATCTTAAAAGAATATCTAGAAAACTGGAGATTTGCTTCAAAATGATCTTTGACGAATGTTTGAAGAATTAGGAAACACATGTGAGGCAACTCACCAGTGCTGTTAATAATGTGATTTATTTTTGGGTTTCATTTTGTTTTCTTGGTTTTTAAAATATGAAAGGGTTCAGAGCCGAAGAAGTGTGACAAGGACGCAAGTAAGGACAGTGCCAGGGCTAGACTGTATTCAGTACAATATATTTATATATATATATGGGTCTCTTTGATGATGATGGATCTGTGTTATATATAGGAGTTCTCCTTGGTGATAATGGATCTGTGTTGTATATAGGAGTTCTCCTTGGTGATAGTGGATCTGTATTATATATAGGGATCTCCTTGGTGATGATGGAACTGTGTTATATATAGGGATCTCCTTGGTGATGATGGATCTGTTTTATAAATAGGGATCTCCTTGGTGATGATGGATCTGTTTTATATATAGGGATCTCCTTGGTGATGATGGATCTGTATTATATATAGGGGTCTCCTTGGTGATGATGGAACTGTGTTATATACAGGGGTCTCCTTGGTGATGATGGATCTGTGTTATATATAGGGATCTCCTTGATGATGATGGATCTGTTTTATATATAGGGATCTCCTTGGTGATGATGGATCTGTGCTATATGTAGGGGTCTCTTTCTTGATGGTGGATCTGTGTTATGTGTAGTGGTTATCCTTGATGATGATGAATCTGTGTTATTTGTAGGGGTTCTCCTTGGTGATGATGTATCTGTGTTATTTGTAGGGGTTCTCCTTGATGATGATGTATTTGTGTTATTTGTAGGGGTTCTCCTTGATGATGATGTATTTGTGTTATTTGTAGGGGTTCTCCTTGGTGATGATGTATCTGTGTTATTTGTAGGGGTTCTCCTTGGTGATGATGGATCTGTGTTATTTGTGATGGTTATCCTTGATGATGATATATCTATGTTATTTGTAGGGGTTCCTCTTGGTGATGATGCATCTGTGTTATTTGTAGAGGTTTCTTTGGTGATCATAGATCTGTGTTATTTGTAGGGGTTCCTCTTGGTGATGATGTATCTGTGTTATTTGTAGGGGTTTTCCTTGGTGATGATGGATCTGTATTATGTGTAGGGGTTCCCCTTGGTGATGATGGATCTGTGTTATATATAGGGATCTCCTTGGTGATGATGGATCTGTGTTATATATAGGAATCTCCTTGGTGATGATG